CCACCGATGGCCTCCAACCCACTACCGATGGCCTCCAACCTACTAGCCATGGCCTCCAACCTAATATAAAGAACAAAAACAAACATGACAAGTGTGAAGAGTGCGGGCCGGTTGCCGTGCAGGAGAGCCCTGACTCGATCTGGTAGAGTCGACAATTCGGAGCCCCCACAGAGCTCCTGGACAGTCGAGGCCGAAGCGCAAAAAGCAAGTTTAGTCATAAAACGTTACAAAAAAACAACGAAATTTTATGCAAAATCGAACCAACATGAACTGTACTCCCAAAACTTGTTGCAGCTCACTTATGTTGCTTGTCCTGACGTCTGTTCAAATAGATCGGCGAGTACAAAAGCCGGTAGGAGCAAATCACCACGTCTGCATTTGCAATATCGCGTGCCTCCCGAAAGAACGTTTTCGCCGCGCACTGAATCGTGTTGCACTGTTACGTCCGTGGTAAGAATGCTCCGTTCGTAGCGATGCCAGGAGCCCCGTTCGTAGCATCCTTGCTCCTAGTAGTAAGGCCAAGAGCCCCGAACATAGCTTCTTGTTCCTATGTTTCCAGCTTGGCCTTGGCTCTTGACAATGGACTCACATTCACCATCGCAAAGATCTTCATGGGGCAGTTGATCGGTGACCAGCCTCCCTTCATCTGTTGCCTGCGCCAAGATCTGCAAGGAACCCTTTTATAGCTTCTACCTACTGGACGGACGCAGGATAGCTCACCCACTATTCATTTGGTTCCTAGATATTCAGGGAAACTGAACACATAGAATCTTTGTTACAAAGAAACTGTCAACTGCAAAGAAAGCATGTTTAACTTTCGCACAACAAAGAAGGGGCCAAGCAAGACGGAGTTGAGGAATGGAAGCTTCGGCCTCAAAGGTCTTCCATCCCAAATGAACTTGGAGAATTCGTTGATCCACTGCTCGAACAAATTGGATGGGACAATGATCAGCGTGCCCTGCCAGTTCACTCTGACTGTCGGACAAACTGGATACTGCGATGATTTTGGCGTTTAGTTGGATTTCTTGACCATTTTATAGGTCTTTCCAATCCCAGCCTTAGCCGGCAAAAAGTTGCCTCGGTCGGCCTGCAGCGGAAAATGATATGGTTCTTCCTCGGCTGTCTTTTCTCCTTCAAAACAGGGGGAAAAAGTTTTGTTGTTTTCTTTTAAAAATCTTCTTCAAGGAAGCCAGCTAACTAAGCCTAGTAGCTAACTAGTCGCCTTAGGCGCCTACTTAAGTAGGAGCAGGGCAAAAAAAGAGGACGTGTTCCACTCTCCATGTCTTGGCCCACACCTCTGGGATTTCTGGCAAAGGCTGCTGCAGCTGATGGTCGATTAAGGCGATGGTGGTGGCCTCGAATCGGCGAGAAGCGGTGCAAGTGAGAAAAAGCCGAAGAAAGCAAAGCAGGGAGCAGGTGGAGAGCCAAACCTAATCAGAATGGCCTACAACCTAATAGCAATGGCCTCCAACCTACCACCGATGGCCTCCAATTTAAAAGCGATAGCCCTCCAACCTACTAGCGATGGCCTCTAACCTACTACAACGGCGTCCAACCTACAAGTGATAGTCTCCAACCTAAAAGCAATGGCCTCCAACCTAATAGCAAAGGCCTCCTCCAACCTAGAAGCGATGGCCTCTAACCTAATAGCATTGGCCTCCAACCTCATAGCAATGGCCGCTAACCTAATAGCAATGGCCTCCAACCTCATAGCAATGGCCTCCAACCTAATAGCAATGGCCTCCAACCTTATAGC